TTTCCACTATAAATTCAAGGAACTCCAAGACAGCCTGGGCTCTGTGTCAAGACCCTGTGCCTCAAAACAAACAATCAATAAACAAAACAAAAAATGAATCCCTGGTGCTTCTGGTATCATTTGCCTGTGTTGCACTGAACAACATCACTGAAAATTGGGTTCTGAACTGTCAGCATACTGCACAGGTCATCACAGCACACAATACCAACAAACACTGCCTGGAACACCTTGGCTCAGACTTAGAAATACTGTTATATGAACTGCATTGCTTTGCCAGTTTTCTGCTTATATAGAAATATAATGGTTTACAGAAAATTGAGTCTATTTATATTTATATGCTCATTGTTAATTTAAAAAACTGATGGGCTGGCAGAGATTGGGCAAGACAGCTGACGCAGAGAGAATGATGGGAGGAGAAAGGGCAGAGTGAAGGAACAGACACCAGCCAGATGCTGTGCAAGCTGGACAGGTAGAAAATGAGGTAACAAGCCATGAGCCATGTGACAAAGCATAAATAGAAATATGGGTTAATTTAAGTGTAAGAGTTAGCTAGTAACAAGCCTGAGCTATGGGCTGAGCATTTATAACTAATATAAGCCTCTGAGTGATTATTTGGAAAGCAGCTGCCAGGACAGGAAACTTCTGTCTACAATATTTTTCTACCATCATTTCTCAGTATGTAAGTTTCGTACTGTATTATAGTACGTCTTTGGATTATTGTATATGTGAATGTTGGAAATTTAAAACTGCTGTTTGGAATGCTGACTTGAATTTCATTAAAAAAAATCTAAATGAATCTTGGCTTGAGATTGGGAGAATTTCCAAAAATTTCTGAAATGGTTCTAAACAAAACTGCCATTCAATACTATCCACTTATACAAAGTGGAGTTCTCAGCATTGAAAACTATAAAATCAAAATATTCAACCACTCTGAGAATCATGGAAGATGTTCCAATCCTATAATATCAATGTTCAGCCAAGACTTAATTTTTGCTGTTGTTGTATTTTGTTTATCTGTTTTCTAAGACAGGATTTTGTGTAGCCCTGGCTGTCTTAGAACTCACTCTGTCAGAGATCTGCCTGTCTCTAACTCCCAAAGCAGGGATTAAAGGCATGTGCCACCACCACCATCACCACCCAAACCTGGCTCCAAAATTTAATTCTTAACATAAAAACAAATAAGCACACCTATCACATTAATATGCAACTTGATTTTCCCTGTAAATAATTGGTAAGATTATACATATGCAAAAGAATCATTTTAGAATAAATTTATACTTACTATGAGAAAATGTTTGATTTGGAGAACCATTTTGTATATACCTAGGATCATATAAAATTTTTTCAGCAATCTCAAGCATAAAATGTCTAAGTACTGAAGTTGGGGACCTGGTTTAGTGGTTAAGAAGCTGGTTGCTCTGCTAGAGGACCTGGGTTCGATTCCCAGCACCCACATGGCAGTTCACAACCATCTGTAACTCTAGTTCCAGGGGCTAGTTCTAATGGCCTCTTCTGGCCTTTGCAGGCACCAGGCATTCAAATGGTGCACAGACATACACGCAGGCAAAACACCCATACACATAAGATTAAAAATGTCTTTAATTTTGTGACATGTCTAAGAAGCCCTAAGCTAAGCCACAGTGGGAGGATTGAGGGAGTGCTGGGCTTCAGCTGGGTCCAGTATTAAAGCAAGTTAGGATCTCCTAGGTGTGGTGGCACAGCCTTTAACTCCAGCCCTCAGAAGGGAGGCAGTACAGGCGGATCTCTGTGAGTTCCAGACCAGCATAGTCTACATATCAAGTTACAGGACAACCAGGACTACGTAGAACAACTCTGTCTCAAGGGCGGGGTGGGAGGGGGCAGTTAATATCAAAAGGAAGGCAGATTCAAGTAAATTTCTAGGGTGACCCATCTTACACATGAGACGAAGAGACGCCCGGGAGACTGACTGACTTGACCAAGAATCGCTGGCAGTAATGGCTGAAGCTGCAAATTTCTAGACTCCCAGGGTTCCCTGAATTAATTTGGGGTCTTTACGCACTCAGAAACTTTTCACTTTCCCCACATTCAATTACACAGCCCCATATAGGGTTGCTGCCCACAGTTGAAGCTATGGTCCAGTTGTTGGTCATTCTGTGTGATTATTTGTTTATATTCTCATGACCACTGTGAGACCCTTAGGATTTAGAAGGACTTGTTCTAAAGTATTTGCTGACTTTGATTTTTTTTTACACTTATTTATGTGCATGAACGTTTTGCCTGCATGTGGGTATGTGCACCATGTAGGTTCCTGGTGTCTTTGTCTTTGGAGGTAGGAAGAGGGCATCGGATCCCCTGGAACTAGAGTTACAGACCGTTGTGAGCCACCATGTGGGTGCTGGGAACTCAACCCAGGTCCTCTGGAAGAGCAGTCAGTGCTCTTGATTGCTGAGCCGTCTCTGGCCCTGTGTTTTGTTTTAACAGAGTCAGGGGTTACTAAAGATATTTAATACAGGCTGAAACACAAAGTCAGGAGGAGGAGAGAGGCTCGGGACAGAGTAGAACACAATTGAGAGCATGTCTACGGGCTTCTCGAGGAAAAGCCGAGGAAGTAAGAATGTGGTGTGGGCACAGCTCTTCACTGGAGTGCTGCCTTTGCCTTTTCAACCCAGGACTTCACAGCAAAGCTGCCAAGCACAGGCCTCAGAGCACCTCCCTTTACAGTTGTGGTCTAGTCTGGTGTTTCCCTTATCAGATTCCCTCCAGATGATAAAACTTCAGTCCCACACATGCGTGCACCCAGCAAAGGGGCTGTGTTGAAAGGGGAAGGGACTCTCTCCCTGGAAGAACTACCAGAAGGAAACAATAGAGAAGGAGCTGGGTGCAGATGCCAGAGCTGCTCCCTGTGGTAAGGGTGAGATGGACTTCACCCTTTGAAGGATTGACTCCAAAAGGCAGACGATGTCAGGGGATCCAGGTAACTCTTTTGAGAGGCAATAAATTCCAAAACTTTGGAGACTTCAGAACACAGCTGAGTTAGCAGGAAAAGAGGAAAATCAGATTTGGGGAACCAGCCTCCCCAAATATTAAGAGTAAGGGCTCACCCAAGGCAGTGCCCAATAGAAATTTAATTTTTACAAACTAAGAAGGATGCATTCTAAAGACTCATCTCTTTTCACACTCCTACAGGCCATGTGGGCTGAGGAGAGAATGAAGGGAGGTGTTAAGTCTCAGTCAGTGTCTGGGGGTTACTATCACTGTGATGAAACACCATGACCAAAGCAACTTGGGGAAAAAGGGGTTAATTTTGCTTACACTTCCACATCACTATTCACCATCAAAGGAAATCAGGATCAACTGGACAGGGACCTGGAGGTAGGTGCTGATGCAAAGGTCATGGAGGGGTGCTGCCTACTGGCTTGTTCCTCATGGTTTGCTCAGCCTGCCTTCTTATAGAACCCAGGACTACCAGCCCAGGGATGGCACCAACCATAATGGGCTGGGCTCTCTTCCATCATAACTAACTAGGAAAATTCCCCACAGGCTTGTCTGCTTATAGCCCAAATTTCTGGAAGCATTTTTATTTTTCAGTTAAGGTTCCCTTCTCTCAGATGACTATAGCTTGTGTTAAGTTGACATAAAACTAGCCAGCAGTCAGGGAGCTGTGTGTGTGTGTGTGTGTGTGTGTGTGTGTGAGAGAGAGAGAGAGAGAGAGAGAGAGAGAGAGAGAGAGAGAGAGAGAGAGAGAGAGAGAGAGAGAGAGAGAGAGAGATTAAGAATGTGTATTTCTCTTGCAGAGAACAAAAATTCTGTTCCCAGGTTGCTTCCAGGAATCTTGACACCATTGGCCTCCTTCCCACACCCGCACATCAGTACACATATTTACATACAGACACATGCATACATAATCAAAAATAAAAGTAAGTCATAAAATAAATAACCAACAGCAACAACGAAAAGATCTCAGCCGCTGACAGTCCGGGTCTTACAGGTTCCTGCTTGGGAACTGGCACAGAAGGCAATTCTGAAAGGCAATAGATCCTTGTTGCCACACGGGGGCTCCACACCAGGCTTCTGGAGGAATTTTACATTTTAATATTTTTCTTCCTTCCCTTGTCATTACAAAACAAACATACAAATTGAAAAAAGCTAGGAGATGTCTCCAAACGGTCTGTGGTCTCTCTATTAACATAAAACTAGCGTGAATGCATATGCTTCCAAACCTGCCTAAACTTTGTTAGACATAAAATTTTATATGAACATTAGATGGATATGGATAATACACGTGATAACACATATCCTATTATACACAAATTTCAATACCGAAATGGAATCGTTCCACACTCCTCTCACTATATATCAACACCTTTCCGTGCCTACATGGTGTCCAGATATGTCACAGGAGCGGGGCGGATCTCTGGAAACTGGACTTTCTTCACAGGCGGTTGTGAGCTGCCACGTGGGTGATGGGAACCAAACCCCGGCCCTCTGCAAGAACAGCCAGTGCTTTTAGCGGCTGAGCTATCTCTCCAGCTCCATTCACAACATTTTTAAACGATGGCATTTTATTCCATTTTTCCATGTCATTAAAATGTTTATTATAATACACACATTCTAGAAACCCCTACATTTTTCATGTCATTGGAGTGTTTATTATAATACACATATTACTGAAAATCCTACACGGAGGCCTACTGTGTCAATCACACTTTTCTGTTGTTGGAAGCATTCACTCCATTTCAAGGCAGATAGGCGTGCGACAGCTGGCCAGTGGCAGAAGTGACCGAGCCAGGGATGGACACTGCCCGCCGAGGCCCTGAGCCCAAGTTTTATCCAGCCAAACCAGGTCGCCAGGGGCTGTGTTGACAGGAGTCCTGGTGAGCAGTCCCTCCCGCCCTAGCATTAGCGGCCCAGGACCGCAAGGGGCGGGGCGACGCGCGGGGGCGGGGCCGGAGGGCGGGCTGAGGCGGGGCCTCGTGAGGAGGGCGGGGCCGGGCGCGGCGGCGGCGGGCGGGCGGGTGCCGGTGCTGCCGTTCGCCGCTCGAGCTGCAGGTGGAGCTGTGCCGCCGCGCTGCCTCCAGGAAGCCTCACGGGCCTTCGTCGGCCTGGCCGCGGCGCCGGCTCCCAGGATGCAGTGTGGAGTGGCCGGGCGCTGACGGTGGCGGTGCGGCTGCAGGCGGAGCGGCGGGAGGCCGGCCTGCGAAGAGCGCGGCGGGGAAGGCAGCGGCGCTGCCGGCGGAGAGGACCCGGCGGCCGGGCCTGCGTGGGGCCGCGCGCCGCGGCGTCGACTTCCTCCGCGCCGGGCAGGACAGCGCAGGGCCATGGCCGAGGCGGCCGCGGCTCCGGTAAGGGCGGCCCGCGCGCTTGGCCCGCGCGGCCTCGGGCCCCGGAAGGCCGGGGCCCAGCACACAGTGCCGCAGGCCCCAGGAGGGCTTCCGGGCCAGACCGGGCCTGCGGGTCCTGGGGCTGCGGCGAGCGGCCGCGAGGTCCGCCGGGGCCTACCGGACCGGGTGGAGCCGGGCGCAGGGAACGGCCGTCCGCGCCCCGGAGGCCGACCCGCGCCAAGTTCCCGGTCTGCGCGTCCCCGGGCCGGGCTCCTTCCTCAGCGCCGGGCCGGTGCTTCCCACCCCCAGCTCCCCCCAGCGGCCTGGTGGCACCTGGGAGGTGTCCGACGTCGATTCCGCATACACTGAGCACCCACTATGTGCCCAACCCTCCCCGGGCAGCGCGCGAGGGCTGCTCCCATTTGTCCAGCCAGGCTGGCGCTGTGCTCAGCCCGGTGTAGGCATGATTCTGTCCGCACTGCAAACCTGTGGGCTAGTTACTGTTATAGTTATTATTTTGTACAAAAGAAAAGCTAGGGGCCCAGCGAAGTTAACTTGCCGAGAATCTCGGAGAGAAAGTGTGGGAAGACAGTGCTCACAGTTCAATGGCTGTGATAAGGAAAGCAGACAGGTACACGAGTAGCCATATGGTCGAACAGAAAGAGGTTGTAGCAACCTGGTGGAAACGAAGTTCGAATGCAGGTGCTTAGCAGACCCTGTGCCTCCTGCCTGGCCAGGTATCCTGTGCTTTTGTGAGCTGAGTTAACTAGGGTTTCATAGGGCTTGGGCAGAGAGAGGCAAGGCACGGAGACGGGACAGTACAGGACCGGTCTACAAGCCTGGAGAGATGGTTTTGGTGATGAGGCTGCAGAGTTGGAAGGGGCTGGAAGGCCTGGACTTGGTCATGTGGGTGGGGAACAGTGGAGGGATTTGGCATCCTCTTAGACCAGTGGCTCCTCTCAAACTCAGTTTCCGCTTCCCTGCCTGGTTTGCAGTTGGCTATATCACCTTCCCTTTGAGTTAGCAAGGTGCTAGGCTTCCCCAGAAGACAACTCCACACAGTTCAAAGGTCAACGGACCCCATAAGAATGGTTCAAACAAACAAACAAAAAACGACCCACAGTTCAGATGTTAAAAAACAATAACATCACCGAGGTAGATAGTGTGCCCTTTTGTGTAACGCAGAGCTTGCCCCAGAGGGAGGGGCGGCAAAGTACAAGGAGACATCTGAAACAGACTCTTGGAGTCTGGGATAATCCCTGACAGGGCTGGCCCTGAAGAGGAAGGAGAGGCCAGAAGTACCCTCCCACAGTAGTTTTTCCCTCCCTGCCCATCCGAACCCATCTTCTGAGACCCACTGAAAGTCTTCAGTCAGACCCAGTGTCCTTCCTCCTATACAGCCTGAGAAACTCTTGAGCACCTCCAGGCCAGCTTTTCTGCCTCTGGTCAAGCTCTCTTGGCCCCATTTTCTGATGTATCTAACCACATTCTGGTTCCCAGCGACTCAAATGAGTCCACACTAGTTCCTAGAAGTCACTTTTATTTTTGTTGAAGAGTATTCTAGAATGTAAGGAACTGGCCAGAAGTGGTGCCCATGCAAGGATTGGGATTTCTGTGGTTTGCACCTCCGATTTATATGGAAGAGCTCTTCCCACTCCCCACCCAAAATGTGCTCTTCATTTCCAGTGGGCAGTCTCTAAAGCCTCTGTGCCATTTCCAATGACAGGGACGTCATCGTATCAGTCTTGTGATTGTTGATGCACATGTAAAAGTATAACCATCCACCTTCCTCACCAGATTAGAGTGTGTCACTGATCTTAGGATAGCTCATTTCTGAGACTGATTTGTACCTTCCAGAGAGTTCAAGTGGTATAAAAAGTCCAACTCAATGCCAGGCTTGGTAACACACTTGTCACTCTAGGACTTGGGGTGGTGAAGGCAAGGAGTATCAAGGGTTCAAGGCCATCATTCTATTCTACCTAGCAGGTACTAGGTCAACCTGGGCTAAGTGAGACTTCATCACAAAAACAAACAAAATATTCATCTCTTTGACTGGTTAAAATTAGCAGTAATGGTAATTTTAGCTCATGGGGGAGGGGCAATTAGGAAGGGACCAAATCAGATTGTCCTGGAGGAAAGGGAATTGGCCATTGAGCTTATCTGTCTGTAAGAGGGGACAAGAGATGCTTTTTTAAAAAGCACTTGAGCAACCCCCTTGTTTGTGCCTCCTAGTTGAAGCAGCTGGAGTTTTTGCTGGGTCATCATCACAGTTCCTGTGCGATTGTGACAGGAGGCAGGCTGCCCTAGTAAACCTGCAGTTTGTCGTTTCTCCACTGAAACACCAGCAATGCTAAGTCACTGTTTACTTTGCAAAATCGCACTGTGTTTACCATGTGGTTAGCACGGTGCTGTGAAAAGACATAGTGTCCGCCAGAAGAGGTGTTCAGTGTAGTGACATACAAGAGATGCTGAATAGGGTATGGAAAGTGCCAAGGTAGGAATCTGCACAATGTGCTGTGGGGTCCTGAGCAAGGCACCTGCTGGCCTCAGGCCGGATCTCTATACCCAAAGAGGCTGTCACTAATGCAAGATCTGGTGCATGATATAAGATGTCCCTACTTTGCACATACGTGGGTCCTCCACTCCCGGCTTGGCTCACCCATGCCTAGAGAAGGATCACAGTGCACCAGTGCAAAGAATGATGCCGATTCCTCCTCTTTCTCAAAGATCTCTCCATGGACAATGGCAGCTACAATTCAGGCCATGGAGAGGAAGATTGAATCTCAGGCCGCTCGACTGCTTTCTCTAGAAGGTCGAACTGGGATGGCAGAGAAGAAGCTGGCTGACTGTGAGAAGACAGCTGTGGAGTTCAGCAACCAGCTAGAGGGCAAGTGGGCCGTGCTGGGGACCCTGCTGCAGGAGTACGGGCTGCTGCAGCGGCGGCTGGAGAATGTAGAGAACCTGCTGCGCAATCGGAACTTCTGGATTCTGCGGCTTCCCCCTGGCAGCAAGGGCGAGGTCCCCAAGGTAGCTTTTGGGGGCCCTGGGGTGGGGAGCCCAAGGGTCCATGCCTGCAGGCATGTGGGTGAACGAGTGTGACACTGGTTTCGGGTTCCTGTGACCTTTGATGATGTGGCCATATGTTTTTCTGAGCAGGAGTGGGGCAAGCTGGAGGACTGGCAGAAGGAGCTCTATAAGCACGTGATGAGGGGCAACTACGAGACACTGGTCTCCCTGGGTAAGGCCTGACACAAGCCTCTGTAGGGTGGGGTTTTAGAGTTCCCAGACCTCTCTTTGTGATAGAGTTGTTTTCATGTCAATGATGTGGAGATGCCTAGGTTCTGGGAGCAAGGAGACTCCTCTTCCTCACTTCCCAGCCGTCTCTCCTCATGTTGTGGCTGAAGAGTCAAATCCTCCCTTCTGCTTGGAAGAGCAGACCGGGGAAAGCGGTGCCCTCTGTCCTCACCAGGCCCAGAGTGTGGACATCTGTTTCTGCTGAGACTGGGGCACAGGTGTGCCACAGCTCCCCAGTGTGTTTTTAATCAGCTCTACTGTAGCGGAGGAATTGTTCTTTGACCATCGATTGGGTAGCTTTTATACAACAGATCAGAGGGTCTGTGGAGCATAAGGTAGACCTCGCCTCTCAAAACAGGTGTTCTTTCTGTGCCCCCAAGCCCTGCTGCCCCAGCCCCTGGGGCTGCTGTCCTGAAAGGGGCAGACCCCTCTTCTTGGCCTTGCTTTGTAGTCAGGAGTGTTTGGTGGGTTGTGAGTGAGTACACTCACAGTATGGTCTGCTTTTCAAGCACGCTGCTGCTTCATGTGGCCTGTGTCCCAGCACTGCTAGACTGTAGACAGATGACTGCTGGGGTGCGGTCTTTCATATGCACTGCTGAATATGCAGCAGCACCTCCCCCACCCCTAGATTCTACTCAAGATTGTCCCTAGACTTTGCAGCAGAATGCCTACCATTGAGAACTGCTGTTTTGTACCAGTCAAGACATTTAGTTCCTAGGCTGTTAGTGATTTTACAGCTGCCTGTCCCCAGCTCTGATGAGAACATGGCAAAATTAACCCCCTGTCTTTCCTCAGACTATGCCATCTCCAAACCCGAGGTCCTCTCCCAGATTGAACAAGGCAAGGAGCCATGTACTTGGCGTCGCACCGGCCCCAAGGTCCCGGAGGTTCCTGTGGACCCAAGTCCAGGTGAAGGGTTGGGAAAAGGTCAGGGCCACATCAAAAGTGTCATCAACATAGAAAAGTAAAGATCTAGGGGTGGTGTTAGTCTTCTTCCAGAAAGACACAGAGAATGTTTCAAACTAAATCTTTGATGGTTGAGTCATAGCTGACTTACTCAGCTATGTTGTAGAAACTAGTGATTTCCACCCTGGACATAGATAGCAGAGTCAGAAACAGGGGCACAGAATTAGGGGATGAGAGAAGAGGGAGTGGGGAGCTCTAGCTATTCAGAGCAGTGCAGAAAGTCACCCACTGGCAAGCTGTATGGTCCAGTGTGACTAGAGTCAGGTGTTGGGTTCAGGCGAATTGGGTCCTGAACAGTGTTTCCCATTTCCCTGGAGCCAGTCAGCACCTCTTCAAGTTTAGGAAGGATGGGGATGCTGGGTTCCTGCATGGAAGACCTTGCTGGGTCATTTGGTGAGAGACATTGTCTCTGCTCAGCCTCTGCCTCCTCCCTTGTTTGTCCTTTGTCTGTTCTGCCACCTTGGGTTTGTGTCCTTGATACTGTGTCACTCAGATCTTCCTGTGGTGAACTCCCATGTAATTAATTGTGTTTTACGTGTTTACTTCATGGGAGTTCAGCTTCATCTCATTAGATGAGGGCAGAAACAGGTCTAGAGCTGAGCACATGGCCATTTTTCACTGATGCACTGACCATGTACTTCAGCAGATGTGTTTTGAGAGGCTTATTGGTACCAAGGACAGTGTCAGCTGGATGTTGGGAAGGTGCCTACTGAGAGTTCTCTGCCTGGAAGAGGTGGGGGACACATATGACCTTGACTTCCAAAGCCAAGGGTGAGAGGTTCCTGGTATCCAATTTTATTTCTTTATCTTTGTAACATGGTACTTTCCCTTGTGAGAACCAGTAGGGTCCAAGAAACAGCCAGTTGCTGGCCCTCACTCTCCACTGTCCATTGAACTTAGCAGGAATCACATGTTGCCTTTCTTCTCTCCTCAGTCCTGGTATCTGGGGTTCCTGCCCTCCTCTCACTCCTGATTGAGTTGATCCATGCCCTTACCGAGCCTCATCTCTTCTCCTCACTCCTAACATCTCCATGGTGCTCTTCAGGACCCACTGTGCCTAGCAAGTACTCCTGGGTCCAGTGTGTCCCATCTGTCTTGCGCAGGCTGAGCCCTGGCTCTTCCCAAGTGTGGCTGCCCTGCAGCTCTTTTGCCCTCTTTCCCACGTCCCAGGAGGCAGGTGTCCTTGCTCCTCATCACTGACCCTTGCTAGACTCTCTCCTTTGGAAACCCTGTCTGGAGAGCTCAGTCCTCCTGGCACCTTGTCATTCTTCACCCTCACTACCCTTACAGATGGCTGTGTCCATGTGGTGGCCTTACCTCCATACCCTTCACCTTTCTGCACTCTTATGGTTTCCTCATTCCTTCCACTGTCCCCATCCCTAGCATGTATTCCACAGCCACTTCCTGTTGCTGGTCCTCCCAGTCTTAGACCCTCCAGTCCAACAGGTCCTCAGTCTGTAGGACCTTCAAAGCCTTCCCACTCTCCTCATCCTCCTCTGCCTGTGGCTGTCATTCGGTGCCTCTTCACACTCTCCCCCTTTCCCTGTATTCACTCTTATCTACTTGGCAAATCATAATCCCAGAGAAATCATCTGCTTGCTCTGCACTGCACCCAGGCCGCTGCCTCGGCAGACCCATAACCCTACGGCCAGTCTCCCCTGCTATTCCTGACCAGCATTTCGTGGGGCTTTTTATCCACCAGTAATCACCAGCATCATCTCAGCTGCCTCACTGGCTCAGAGGCTGGCAAATTATGGCTCACAAACCAAACCTAGCCCTGTTTATAAAGAGCTCACAATCCAAAAATTTCAGTTTAGTAATAAAAGATCATTTTTAATTATAAAAATCTACTCTTGGGGGGAGGGGCTGAAGAAATGGATCAGTGGTTAAAAGCACATGTTGCTCTTGTAGAAGACCCAGGTTCTTTTCCCAGCACCCACATGGTGTTTCACAACCATCCGTAACTCCAGTTCTAAGAGATCTGACACATTCTGACAATAGGCACACATATGCCTTCTGCTTCAGGCACACATGTGATGTATGTACGTACATATAGCTGAATCACACACATATAAATCTAAGATGTGTGTGTATGTGTTACTTTTTTTAAGAAAAAAGGAAAAAAAAAACATTCTCATGGCCCTCCAACTCCTTGTGCCCTGCCTGCTCTGCTTACCTGGCCACTCTGTAGTCCAAGGACATCTTTCTGCCTGGCCCAAGACTCTGCCCTATGCCACCTTCTCAAGGGCAGCAGACATTCCCTCCCTTGGCCCCACTCCTCACTCCCCTCCAAGACTGCCCCATGTCTCTGGCCTCCATTCAGGCTCCAGAGGGAGCATGTATGACTCCAAGCCATCCCTTCTGTCTGGGTGCCTCTTCCACTAAGCCTGACCTTCTCAGTCCCCAGTCACCTGACAGTGCCAAAAGGTCTGCCTTCCTCATTGTGTCTAGAGAGTCTGCCACCATAGCTCACTGTCCTAATCCAGTTTCTGTTATGACTGACGACCATACACTGGGTCATTCTAAATTCCCCACAGTCCTAGCCTGGAGGCTGCAGAGTCAAGGTCAAGAGGCCATACCTGGTCAGACCCTTCTTGCTGAAAGCAAGGATATCCCATTGTGAGACAGCAAATCTTCCTTCCCCTTGTTACAAAGCCACTCAGGCTATTATGGGGGACCCCCACACCCATGACCTTATCTAATCCTGATTGCCTCCAAAGGCTCCGCCTCTAATACCATTAACAAAGATCAAGGGATTAAGTTTCCAACACACGGATTCCAGGGACACACCCAACCACAGCACTGCTTCCTGAAGTTATATCTCTGGATACACAGGATACCTCCATCTCCTGTGGTTCCTGCCCCACCCACCCCTGCTGCCCTTCCTTTGCTGTTTCCTGTGGCCTTGAGACCTTTCTGAAATGGTGTCCCCTCATTCTCACAGTCTCTTCCTCATGGCAGCTTAGGTCTCAGTACCTATGTCTAGGTGTGTGCCCCTAGCCTTGACTTCTGCCTGAATTTCCCACACCCCACTGCCTGGGCTGTGTCTCCATTTGGATGCCCAGTAGATGACCATGACAAGTACATCCCTTTGAAACCCATTCTTCCCTCATTCTCCCTGGCTTCTCCATCTGTCCAGCTGTAAGCCAAAAACCCAAGTTTCTGGCCCTCTAGTCACAACACACATCTACTTTCTCTCTTCCTAGCCCTCCCACTCAGTTATCTAGACTCCTTCCAAGCCTCAGTCTCTTGCTAAGATGACTGCCATCGCTGGTCCTGCCCTTAGCCCCTACAGTCTGGTTTTACCCAAAGATCCCCTTAAAATGCATGTCCTAACTTTCCATCCGATCTCCACAGCTCAACCATCCTCTCATTTTCCTGTCTTTCTGCTCTCATCCCACTGTCCTTTAGGCTATTTGCTCAACATTCAGGGCTGCTGGTCCCAAATCCTTGGCTCATGTACTTCTTCAGAGCCACTACAGGCAGGCCTTTGGGTGGGATTTCCTCAGTCACCCTATCTGACATTGTGGTTCTCCCACCCACAATTCTAGTCTCTCTTTGTTCCAGGTATTTTGTATTTACCCATTATATGCATGTCCTCCCTCCCATTTATAAATCCCAAATGATAAAAAGTGGTTTTTGTTCATGTAATCATTCCATACTCAGAATATTTTATAACAAAGAGTAGGAATTCAGGAAGTGGTTTTGAGTGTATGCTCACTCCCATCCTTTAAGATGTGTCTGTGTTTGGTATTTGGAATGTGTCTCTGGTACTGTTAGCTGCCTTTTTCTCTGTTGGGTTGTTGTTTTTGTTGTTGTTTTCTTATTCATCTACTCTTGGGGGGGGGCTGCCACCCAGCTCCCAAATAAATCCCATGGAAACTTCTTCCTTCTTATAAATGCCTGGCTTTAGCTTGGCTTATTTCTAGCCAGCTTTTCTTAAATTATCCCATCTACCTTTTGCCTCTGGGCTTTTCCTTTTCTTACTTCTGTAACCTTACTTTCACTCTTACTCTGTGGCTGGCTGTGCGGCTGGGTGGCTGGCCCCTTCTTTTCTTGTTCCTTGATCTCTCTCGCTTCCCAATCCCTCTTTTTCTCCTTCTATTTATTTGCTCTGCCTGCCAGCCTCTCCTATCCTTTCTCCGGCCTTGCTTTTGGTGGTTCAGCTCTTTATTAAACCAATCAGGTGTTTTAGACAGGCAAAGTAACACAGCTTCACAGAGTTAAACAAATGCAACATAAAAGAATGTAACATATCTTTGCAGCATTAAAGTAAATGTTCCACAGAAAATGTAACACATCTTAAACTAATATTCCACAACAAGTCCCACTCTTCATGCAGTAACTACGTGCCCTTTGTTGCCCTTGTGTTTTGGAAAGCCAACATAAATGTTCCTGTATTTTTCACTCTGTAGTTCACATTTGTCTGTACTAACTCATTAGGGTGCTGCTGCTGCTGTGGAAGATAGTCCTGCTCTTTTAGTGCAAGCGTTCCTGCCATAGCCTCAGTACTGGGGTTAGAGGTGAGCCTAGTGCACCTGGCCCACTGGGCTTTTCAGCAGGTGCTTGATATTTGAAAAACAACTATATAGCTGGTGTGACACATGCCTGTAATCTCAGCGTTTGGAAAGCAGAAGACTCTTGAGACCAGCTAGGAATACAGTAATGAAACCTCTCAAACAAGATACAAGAAAAATCCAGATGTAGTAATGTATGCCAGTGTTTTGGAGGCTGGGGCAAATGGACTGCTATGAGTTCAAGGCCACCTGGATGACATAACAAGTTTCAGGCCACCCAGGGATACATAGTAAGACCCTTTCAAAATAAAACAACAGAAAAGAAAAGAAAAGAAACTGTTGCAGTGTATTTTCCAGTAATGTCTATTTTTTCACTGCCACAGCAGCATGGTAGTGGCATCCTTGAGTGCATCTTTGTATCAACATGTTTCTCTGGTGCAGACC